CCACAATGGGTTCAGCTAACATCTATTGAAGATGTGACAAACCAAAATTGAAATTTCTAATGTATTGTGAGTTATTTTTTCTTCAAAGTCAAATCTACAATTGTTACTATTGCCAAAAAGAGCTTGTACTTGGAACTAAGTGCAGGATTTGGTGTGTCTGCAGGCTGGGGCTCTACTGCCCTGGCCTCTTGCACTTGACCCTTGTGCCTGTTCACATGCAGTTCCTTTCTCCCCCCAGACTTCACATGAGGCTGGGGATGGATGTGCTGCCCCTACTGGACAAGCTCCCCAGTCTGTCTTCCCATCTTCCCAGCACTGAGTGGCAGAGGTGAGAGCCCTCTGTGTGAGGCTGTGGGGCCTATAAAGTTCAGACCTCACTTTTGTCTCAGCGGGTCTGGGGGTGACCTCAGCATCAGCGTACGCAGAGCCTATCCTGGCCTCTCCGGTGTGCTCTGTGCGGGTCTGACAGCTCACCCACAGCTCCTCTCCCCTTGGATCTCAACCACCTTCCCAGTCCTTCTGCTAGAAGCTCTGGTTCTCTCAGAACCTTAGACTCCTCTCCCCCCATGAGCTGTGTGGAAGCTTCACATTATAGGATGGTTTTCAGGGAGAACTGGCAAGAGAAAAAGAAGAAAAAATCATCAGGAGTCCCCCCAATACTTTGGAGTCCAGGGCCCCATTTTCCCAGGTTCTCGCCAGAGATGGGCTTTTCCTCAGCATTTGAGGGTCTTATGCCAGGCCATGGCTTTAAAGCCCAGCCAGGAGAGAAGGGGGAAGGGTCCAGTGTAGCCCCCACTCTGACTCTGACAGGCCCCTGGTCCAGGCCTCTCTGAGTCATTCCCCTCCTGCTCACAGAGAAGGGCTAAGACTCACTGCCTTCAAGACAAATCAGCTCACCACATGCTGGTCACTTGTCAAGTTCTCACTTCTCTCCCAACTCAGCCCACTGCTGCTCTCTCTGGAGTCCGCAGTTACTATTCTCTCTGAGACTGTGGTTGTCATCTTTGGGTGGACAGCTGGCCATTGACCTGCTCCATCTCGGTGGCTCCAGAATGATGTGTTTTCTTCTTTTGAGAAGAAGAAAAAAGAGCAAGAATATGGGTCTGGACAGCAAGTAGCCTTTCTGTAGAAATGCATGGACAGTGAGTTATTTTACTCTTAGGACTTTGAAGTGCTATGTGGATTGGCATGAGGTACATTTATTATTCTTTCTGGATGTTCTTCCTGGAGGTGACTGAGTTGGCTGGCTGCACAGGTACAGGAACAAGAGGGTGAGTGTGCTGTCCTATGTGCCAAGTAGCATGGAGTTTGTGCTGTTCTGCATTTCTGAGCCTCTCTCACCATGTGAGTGAGGTCTGGCCAGAGGCAAGGACAGCCATGAGTGGCTGCTCCCAGGCCATCTTGACACCACTTGTCTGTGCTCATTGCCAGCTGAATCCGCAAGCCAGGGAGCCCTGGAGCCCTGAGTCACTGTGTGGAGAGGACGAGCTTTGGTGGCCGCCTGGCCCACATCATGGACCAAAAAGAGCAAGATTTTATGGGGTACAGACACTGAAAAGGCCTTCATTGCAGCCCTACATCATTACCCTAATGATACAGGTTTTGATGGACAATTAGGAACTCCCTACTTGACCACAGAGTAAAGTATCAAACCTTTAGTGAGTGACACTCTTTCTCTCATCTTCGTTTAACCCCTTAAAAATGGGATGTGTTGATTTCACTCACCAGCATTACTTCTTCCATCTTGCAATCAGGATGACAGGAAAATTGGAGCCATCTCTGGAAGGAGAGAGCATATGAAGACAGGGTATTATTTTTTTTAATATATTTTATTGATTTTTTACAGAGAGGAAGGGAGAGAGATAGAGAGTCAGAAACATCGATGAAAGAGAAACATCGATCAGCTGCTTCCTGCACATCCCCCACAGGGGATGTGCCCGCAACCCAGGTACATGCCCTTGACCGGAATCGAACCCGGGACCCTTCAGTCCGCAGGCCAACGCTCTATCCACTGAGCCAAACCGGTTTCGGCGACAGGGTATTATTTTTACCTTAATTTTGAGTACCACTCTGTCGAGTACAAAGAAAAAAATTATTTATTTTCCTGACCTTTAACAGAGCACAGGTGTCTTTTCTGCAGTTGAGATCTGTAGATGATTAAAAGGCACGTGCTTCCAATGACAGTGCTGCCTTTCTTGATCCTTGTCCTTGGGTGGCGTCACTCCTGGGCCCTGGGCCCAGGTCACAAACAAGACACCGAGAAGTGAATCTGCTCTGTCGACAAGACCCTGGCCCAGCGTTCCTGAAATGGCACCATAGGCCCATCCTTGTCACTTGGTGAATGTGGTTTAATGAAGCAGAGTGTCACTGCAGGAGGATTGCGCTGCCCATGTTGTGTTTTGTGAGATGCTTAAAAGGTTTGAAGCTCCTTTAAGAAACCAGGTGGTACCGTGAAGGAGCTGTTCCCCTGAGTGATCGCCTTAGAAGTGGCTGAGACACACCAGCTGTATTAAAGGCTGTGGAAGCTCCGTGATGGGAGGAAAACTTAGCTGTGTAGGTCACTGGTCTGGATGGTGGCCCTCAATCCCACTGACCACCAGTTCCAGTGGGTAATTCCTTATACTCAGCCCTGACCCCAACTGGACCTGCTGGACCAGATTCTGTGGGGCAAAACAACCAAATCTGGGTCGCCCCTTTTATTTTTTAACCTTTAAAAAAATATCATTGTAGATTCACATTATTTGTAAGAGATAATGCAGAGGTGGCCCATGGAATCTGACCCGGTTTCCCTCAATAATATCTTATAAAAATCTCACAACCAGGATATTGACAGTGGCCCAACCACCCATTTGGGCGAATAGACAACAGCTCTACCCGATTCTCCTGCACCGAGGACAGTGCCTTCTATTTTTTGTATACTTTTATCACAGTAATTTATACACAATGAAATTTACCATTTTAACTATTTCAGGGCATAGTCCAATGGTGGTAAGTACATTCATATTGTTGTGCTACCCTCACCACTATCATCTCCATCACTGTTCTCACCTTCTCCAACTGAAGCTCTGTCCCCACTAAACAACAACTCTGCATCCACTCCCCCAATAATGATACCCTCCATCTTACCTCTGTCTCTATGACTCTGATGGCTCTAGGGACATCATGTGAGTGGGATCTCACAGTATTTGTCCTTTTGTGATTGGCTTATTTCATTGAGCCACTCAGGCTCCATCCAGGTTGTAGCGTGTGTCACAATGGCCTATTTTTCTAAATTGAATATATTGGGGTAAGATTGTTAATGAAATCATGTAGCTTTCAGGTACACAGTTCTATAATACATCATCTGAATGTTGAATTATGTCTCACAGCCCTCCCCCCTACCCCTAGGTCAGGTCTCCTTCCATCACAATTTATCCTTTCTAAACCCTCTTCTACCCACACCTCTCTCTCTCTGTAATCACCAAAATGCTGTCTTTGTCTATAAGTCTTTTCTTTGCTTAATCCCTTCGCCTTTTTCCCCTAGTCCCCCAACCTCCCTCCCCTCTGACAGTTGTCAGTCATTTTCTATATCTATGAGCCTGTGTCTATTTTGATTTTAGTTTATTTTGTTCATTAGGTTCCACATATAAGTGAAACCATAAGGAACTTGTATTTCTCTGACTGGCTTACTTCACTTCACTTAGCATAATACTCACCAGCTCCGTCCATGCTGTTGTAAAAGGTAAGATTTCCTTCATTTTCTTTCTCTGTGTGTGGGTGAATAGTATTCTGTTGTGTTAATGTACCACAGCTCTTTCTCCACTCATCTGCTGTTGGGCCCTTGGGCTCCTGTGAAATCTTCACTATTGTAAGTAATGCTGCAGTGAACATAGCATTGCATATATCCTTTCTGATCAGTGTTTCAGGTTTCTGCAGATATATTCTCAGAAGTGGAAATGTTAGGTCATAAAGCAGTTCTATTTTTAATTTTTGAGGGAACTTCATACTGCTTTTCACAGTGGTTGCACCAAACTGCATTCTTACCAAGAGTACATGAGAGTTCCCTTTTCTCCACATATTCACCAGCACTTGATGTTTATTGATTTATTGATGATAGCCATTCTGACAGATGTGAGGTGATACCTCACTGTGATTTTAATTTCTATTTCTGTAATGATTAGTGATGCTCAGCATCTTTTTATTCGTGTAATAGTTATCTGCAGATCCTCTTTGGAAAAGTGTCTATTTAGGTTCTTTGTTCATTTTTAAATTGGATTGTTTAATTTTATATGATGTTGAGTTTTGAAGTTCTTCATGAATTTTGGATATTTAGCCCTTATCAGATGGATCCTTGGCAAATATGTTCCCCCATTCAGTGGGCTGTCTTTTCATTTTGTTGATGGTTTCCTTTGCTGTGCAACAATGTTATAGATTGATGTAGTCCCATTTGTTAAGTTTTTCTATGAAAATTTGTTGCCTTTATTTTCTTCTAGAATTTGTACGTTTTCTATTCTCATTTTAAGTCTTTAATCCATTCTGAGTTTATTCTTCAATATGGTGTAAGAAGGCATTCTGCGTTCATTTATTTTTGTACATTTCTGTCTAATTTTCCCAACAGCATTTATTGAGTGGCCTATCCTACAACATTGTATGTTCTTGTGTCCTTGGTCAAATATTAATTGACCATAAATGTATGGGTTTATTTTGGGGCTTTTTTTCCCCCAGAAGGCCCAGGTCACCTGCACAAGGATGACACAAAGGTCTCCCAAACCCTAGTCTCCCCTCAGCCAGCCCATGTCCCAACACCACAGCGCAAGTCCCGCCCATCTCCCTCCCGCCCCAGCCCAGTCCCGCCCATCTCCCACCAGCCCAGCCCAGTCCCTCCCATCTCCCTCCCCCCCAGCCCAAGTCCTGCCCGTCTCCCTCCCCCCCCCCAGCCCAGTCCCTCCCATCTCCCTCCCCCCCCAGCCCAGTCCCGCCCCTCTCCCTCCCCCCCTATCCCAGTCCCGCCCCCCAGCCCAGGAAATATGGAATGCTTCATGAATTTGTGTGTCACCCTGCGCAGGGGCCATGCCTATCTCGCCTGTATCATTCCAACTTTAGTATATGTGCTGCTGCCGAGTCGAGCACTGGGCTTTTTATTCTGTTCCAAAGATCTTTATTTCTGTTTTATGCCAGTACTATACTGTATTTCTTACTATTGCCTTGTAGTATAGTTTGATATCAGGTAGCATGATTCCTCCAACTTTGTTCTTCTTTCTCATGATTACTGTGGCTATTAGTTTGGTTTTCTTTTATTTGTTTTTGTTGTGTGTGTGTGTGTGTGAGTGTGTGTGTGTGTGTGTGTGTGTTTGTGTGTTGAGTTTTTTTTGTGCTTCCATATAAATATTTCTGATATTTGTTGTCGCTCTCTGAAGTACGTCTTTGGACATTTTAAGGTTGTTAATTCTTCCTATCTTAGAACATCATATATGCTCTGACATATTTGTATCTTCTTCAACATCTTCCTTCCATCCTTCCTTTCTTTCATTTTCTTCTTTCTTTTTCTTTCTTTCTTTCTTTCTTTCTTTCTTTCTTTCTTTCTTTCTTTCTTTCTTTCTTCTTACTTCTTTCTTCTTCCATTCTTTCTTTTTCTCTTTCTTTCTTTCTTTCTTTCTTTCTTTCTTTCTTTCTTTCTTTCTTTCTTTCTTTCTGCCTTCTTTTTTCTTTCTTTCTTTCTACATGATATTTATTATGTTGACGTGTATTCACTCCATTCACCCTTTGCTGAGAGTTGTTACAATGAATGGGTGCTGTGTTTTGTTGACTGCTCTTTCTGCATCTATTGTTATAACCATGTGATTTTTATTCTTTATTTTGTTTATGCTGTATCATGTTGTTTATGTGCAGATACTGTACCAAAGTTGCATCCCTGGAATAAATCCCACTTCATCATGGTTGTGTAATCTTTTGAATATATTACTGGATCCAGTTTGCCAATATTTTGTTGAGGATTTTAGCATCTACATTCATCAGGGATATTGGCCTATAATTTTCTTTCTTTGTAAAGTCTTATTCTGATTTGGGAATTAGGATAATGCTGGACTCATAAAATGAGCTTGGGAGTCTTCCCTTGCCTTGAGTGTTTTGGAGGAGTTTGAAGAGAACAGGTACTAGTTCTTCTCTGACTGTTTGATGAAATGCACTGTGAAACTATCCAGTCCATCACCTGCGTTGGTTGAGAAGTTATTTTTTCTTTTAATCCTCACCAAGGATATATTTTCCAATGATTTTTTTTTTTAGAGAAGAGGGAGTAAGGGAGGGAAGGGCTGAGGGAGGGGAAATAGAAAGAGAGAGAAACATCAATGTGAGACACACACATCAAATGGTTGTCTCACACACACCCCCCTCAACAGAGGTCTGGGGTGAACCTGAAATCCAGGTATGTGCCCTTGACTGGGAATTATTCCCATGATGCTTTGGTGCATGGACCATAGCTCTAACCACTGACTCACAATGGCTGGTGCTTCATTGATCTCTTGCTTGTTTTTTACTGTTTTGTTTATTTCTACTCTGATCTTTATTATTTCCTTTATTCTTCTCACTTTGTGGTGTCTTTGTTTTTCTTTTGTACTAGTTTCTCTAAGTGTAAAGTTAGATGATGTATTTCAGATTTTTCTTGTTTCTGGAGGTAGGCCTGTAATGTTATGAATTTCCCTCTTAGGATTGCTTATGCTGTGCTGCATAGAGTTAGGATTGTTGTGCTCTCATTTCCATGTGTTTCAAGGTATTATTTCACTATTTCCTTGATCTCATTGTTAACCACTCATTGTTTAGTAACATGTTAATTAGCCTCCAAGACTTTCTCTGTTTTACAGTTTTTTCTTTCTTTTTTTTTTTAATACCTTAACTTTATTCTTGAATTACTTATACCTTGTCAACTTCTAAAAATGTTTGAGGCTGCTTACATATACACTTAAATTAAAATAAGAACAGAATGATTACAACTAAATAAGAAGAGAGCTGCTTTAACCAAAAGCCATGGAGTTCTAAATCATGTGAGATAATCACAGTCACTGAGTTCCAGAGAAACATTGTTTTCTCTTGTACAAAACTCTGAAACTGTGGCTCTCCAAATCCAGGGTCCCCAGGAATGACCTTGTGAAACAGATTCCTGGAATGCCCCTACAGATTGTGACTCAGTCAGTCTTGTCCGGGGCCCAGGAATCCACACTTTCAATACCAACTCCTGGTAATTCTGTTGAAGTACTTTAGTGATCACACATGATGAACACAGTTTTTTCTTTCTTTTAAATCCTATAATTACTACTTTTTATTGTGGTCAAATAAATATGAGATTTAGAGTTTTAACCACAGTTAAGTATACATTAAGTATATTGACAGCAATTCTCACCACCATGTATCTCCAGATATATATATATATATATATATATATATATATTGCTTTTCATTGCTTTTATTTCTCTGTTAATAAATTTATCGGGGAAGGGTGGTTTTAGGTGTGTACAATTCAGTAATAGATCACTTGTAGATCAGTTTTTTCTAATTCTAGTTTTATATAGTTATGATCAGAAAAATTTCTTGATATGATTTCAATCTTCTTAAATTTACTGAGACTGTTTTTGTGCCCTAACATGTGGTCTATATAGATAATGTTGCAGGTCCACTTAAAAAGAATGTATATTCTATTGCTTCAGGGTGAAATGCTCTGAAGATACCAATTAAATCCATTTGATCTAGTGTACTATTTAAGGCCACTCTTTCCTTCTTCATTTTCTGTGTGGAAGATCCAGCTATTGATGCCAAGGGGGTGTTAAAATCCCCTACTATGACTCTCTTATTGTTGACCTCTTCATTTATGTACATCAGGATTTAGGTTACACATTTACTTGCTCTTATGTTGTGGAAACACATGTTTGCAAGGGTTAAATCATCTTGTTGGATTGCTCTCTTTATCATTATGTGGTATCCTTCCTTATCTATCAATATAGCCTTTGTTGTTGTTGTTGTTTTTAAACAATTTCTATTGGTTTTTTACAGAGAGGAAGGGAGAGGGCCAGAGAGTTAGAAACATCAGATCAGTTACCTTCTGCACAGCCCCCACTGGGGATGTGCCTGCAACCAAGGTACATGCCCTTGACGGGAATTGAACCCAGGATCCTTCAGTCCACAGGCTAACGTTCTATCCACTGAGCCAAACCGGTTAGGGCTATAGCCTTTGTTTTAAAGTCTATTTTGTCAGCTATAGGTATTACCTCCCCAGCTTTTTTTTTTTCATTTGTATTTGCATGAAATATCTTTTGCCATCTCCTTGCTTTTTGTCTGTATATCTTTCATTCTGAGGTAGGTCTCTTGTTGACTGCATATATATGGTTCTTGTTTTCATATCGATTCAGCTGCCATGTCTTTTAATTTCAGAAGTTAAGCCACTTACATTTAAAGTGATTATTCATAGATATGTTTTATTCTTTTAACTCTGTTTCCCTTTTATTCCTTCTTGATAGTTCTTGTAATAAGGGTTTGGTGGTAATACACCTCTTTTTCTGTTTCTTGTCTGGGAAGCTCTTTATTTCTCCATCAATTTTAAATGATAGCCTTGCTGAGTAGAGTAGTCTTGGTTGAAGGTCCTAGGATTTTCATTACTTTGAGTATTTTGTGCCAATCCCTACTGGCATGGTATGTTTCTGTAGAGAAACAAGCTGACAATCTTATGGGACCTCCCTTTTAGGTAACTGACCATCTTTATCTTGTTGCTTTTAAAATGTCCTGTCTTTTATCTATGTCATTTTATTTATGATGTGTCTTGGTGTCGGGCCTTTTTGGGTTCATCTTGTTTGGGACTCTGGGCTTCGTGGACTTGTGTGTCTCTTCCTTCACCAGGTTAGGGAAGTGTCCTGTCTTTATTTCTTTTAATAGGCTGTAGTCCCTTAATCTTTCTTTTCTCCTTGTACTCCTATAAAGTGGATGTTGTTAATGTTTCCTGTTGTCCCAAAAGTCCCTTAAACAGTCCTCATTTTTAAAAGTTTTCTTTTTGATGCTTTTGTCTTCTCTGACCTTGTCTTCCAAATCACTAATTTGATTCTCTGCTTCATCCAACTATTTATTTTCTCTAGTGTATTCTTCATTTCAGAGCTTGTACTCTTTATTTCTGACGGGATCTTTTATATGGCTTAAATGTTCTTTTTCATGCCTACTACCAGTTTTCAAGTCCCACTGATTTCATCCATTCATCACCTAACTTCTATTAACATCCTTACAACCATTTTTTTTAAACATGCTGTATCTGGAATATTGCTTGCCTTCACTTTGTTTAGCATTTTTTCTGGATGTGTCTCCTGTTCTTAAATTTGGGGCATATTTCTTTGCATCTTGGCTGCCTCTGTGTGTTTGTTTCTTTGTATTAGAATCCAGGTCTTGGTAGTGTGGCTTTGTGTAGTAGATGTCCTGTGGAACCCAGTGGCAAGGTCTTCTTGATCACCTGAGTTGAGTGATCCAGGGATGTCCCGTGTGTTTTATGTGAACCTTCCTGTGGTAGTTGATTCTTGATGGCTATTGGCCCATGCATGTATTGAGTCGATGCTCAGGCTAGTTGGCTGGGACTACAGTGTACCCTGCCTACAGTGTAGTGTATGAGCTGCTGACAGGTGTTCACCAGGTGGAGTGCAATTCATCTCAGCAGGTTCTGGTGCCTGCCTAGATCTCTCTTTGGATATGCCACTTGTGAGGCTAATTGTATCCTGCTCTGATGTGCTCTGAAGCTGGCCACTGGCGTGTTGGTCCTGGGGTCTCCTGGGAGGGACTCTGGTGCTGAACGATGTCAGATGCTTTATGTGACTGGCCCAGGGTAGGAGTCCTGGCACACGAACGATAGTAAGAACCACGTGCAAAAGAGAAATAACTTTTTTGGGTCAATGAGGGAATCCTGAGCTATAACTTGTCATGGTCTATTCCATGGGCCAAACCGGAAGAAACCCGAGAAGTCCATCCACCATCTCAGACCGGTGGTTTGTGGCAAGTGGGTTCACTTTCAATAGAGTTGAAAGAAGAAAAGCCTGTTTTTGCTGAGAACTCTCCCATTTTTTGGTTTAGATATTTCAGAAGATTAAGTAATCAGTTGCTGGGTAAAGGTC